AGATTGAACACTCGGATAGTTTTGGAATAAAGATTAAATTCTAGGATTGAAAGCCTCCAAAGATCTTATATGTTCAAGGTTCTGGATTCTGGATTATGATATAAATCTCCAGACGTCAAAGAAATCTAATGAGTTCGATTCTGAGACTTTTCATTTGAAAACTTTAAAAATTCTGAAGAATCCAAAGTTCCTAGGATCTTTTGGAATTGATGCTCATGAATACAGATTAGACATTGGACTAAATTCTCCGATAATTTTGGAATTCTCTGAAGATTAAAAATATTCTAAGGCTTGAAAGCTTCCAAAGATCTTATGTCGAATGTCCGAGATTCTGTATTATGATCTAAGACTTCAGACGTCAAAGAAATCTAATGAGTTCGATCCTAAGATCTTCTTGAATTGATGCTCGATCGAAGATTTAACACTGAATCCTTTAAAAATTTTAGAATTGCAGACATTTCTAAAGATTCAATATTCTGAGGTTCGAAAATTCCCAAAGATCTTATTATGTCGAAAGTTCTGGATTTTGGATTATGATCTAAGACTTCAAAGAATAAAATATAATAGAATTTGTTCATGATATCATGAAGATTCCTAAGTCTTTGCTGATCTGAGCTTCTAAAAATGTTGGGAAAATTTAAAGATTTTTAAGGCAAGACATTGAAGACGCAAGTTTTTGAAAATTTGTGAGCTCTAGAGAAATTCATTTTTCAAGATTCACGGAATCCTCTGGAAATTTTAAAATTTCGGACATTTTTGAAGATTCAATATTCTAAGGCACGAAAGCCCCCGAAGATCTTATTATGTCGAATGTTCTGGATTTTGAATCATTATTTAAGACTCTAAAAAATAGAATATAATAGAATTTGTTCATGATATCATGAAGATTCCCAGAGCCTCTAAAAATTTTGGGAAAATTCAAAGATTTTTGAGGCGTGATATTGAAAACGCAAGATTCAAGAGCTCTAGAGAGACTCATTTTTCAATATTCTTTGAGGCGTCGATAAAAACCTAAAGAGCTTCATTTTGAGATTTTTCATCTGAAGCCTTTGATGATTCTGAATAATCCAAGGTTCCCAGGATCTCCTTCAATTGATGAATGAAGGCAGATTAAATTTAAGACTGAATCATTTTAAAATTACCAACATTTTTAAGATTCATATTTTAAGGCTTGAAAGTCTCCAAAGATTTTATTATGTCGAAGGTTTTCGATTCTGGATTATGATCAGACTCCACAGAATAAAATATACCTAATACTTATTATAATTTGTTCATATCAGTGATAAAACTAATTGATGATTTTAGAATGGAGATTCTTAAGACTCTGCTGATTTGAGCTTCTAAAAATTCTGGAAAAACTCAAAGATTCTTGAGGCACAACATAGAAGACGCAAGTTTTAAAAGATTTGAGAGCTCTAGAGACTCACCTTTGAACATTCTCTAAGATTCTATTGATTTTAAGAGGTTTCACTACAGATACTTAAATAATCTGAAGACTTTAAACTTAAAAATCCGATATTCTAATGCTCCAAAGCCTCCAAAGATCTTTTACTTTCAAGATTCTCATGGGTCAAGACTTAGAACTTCAAAGAATAGAATGTATGTGATATCTGTTATATTACGACGTTCAGTGTGGGGTGTTGGTCCTAAAATTGATGATTTTAGAATGAAGATTCTCAATAATCTACTGATTTAAGCCTCTAAAGATTTTTGTAAAATTCAAAAACTTCAGGACTTTCGATTCAAAGCTTTTGGAGACTGTTCAGATTCTCAAGTTCTCAAAGACTTTAGAGAAATTCGAGTTTCACAAAAATGCAATAATTTGAAGAGTTGAGAGCTCTAGAGAGACTCATTTTCCAAGATTCTTTGAGATGTCGACAAAACCTAGAGTTCGATTCTGAGACTTTTCATTTGAAAACTTTAGAGATTCCGAAGAATCCAAAGTTCCTAGGATCTTTTTGAATTGATGCTCATAAATACAAATTAGACTTAAAACTGAATTCTCGGATAATTTTGGAATTTTCTTAAGTTTAAATTTTCCAAGGCTCTAAAGTCTTCAAAGATCTTACGTCGAATGTTCTGGATTCTGAATCATGATCTAAGACTCCAGACGTCAAAGAAATCCAATGAGTTCGATTCTAAGACTTTTCATTTGAAAAATTTAAAGATTCTGAAGAATCCAAAGTTCTTAGGATCTTTTTGAATTAATGCTCATGAATACAGACTAGACTTAAGACTGAATTCTCGTATTATTTTGGAATTCTCTATAGATTAAATATTCTAATGCTCGAAAGCCTCTAAAGATCTTATCTCGAATGTTCTGGATTCTGGATCATGATCTAAGACTCCAGACGTCAAAGAAATCTAATAAGTTCGATTCTGAGTCTTTTCATTTGAAAACTTTAAAGATTCCGAATAATCCAACCTTCCTAGAATCTGTTTGAATATTGATACTCATAAATACAAATTAGACCTAAGACTGAATTCTCGGATAATTTTGGAATTCTCTACAGATTAAATATTCCAAGACTCGAAACCTTCCAAAGATCTTATGTCGAATGTTCTGGATTCTGGATCACGATCCAAGACTCCAGACGTCAAAGAAATCTAATGAGTTCGATTCTGAGATTTTTTATCTGAAGCCTGAAGATATTAGAGAATCTAAAGTTCCTATTTATTCTATTTTTTTGAAAGCTGGTATAATTAAACTGTCACCTCATCGTTTATTTCAGGTGGTTCATTCACTCTTCAAAGGATTTATGAGATTAAAATTGGTTGAGGATGATTGATTATACCAGCTTTCAAAAAAAATAGAGTAAAGGATGTTCTTGAATTGGTTTTAATGAATACAGATTGAAGATTCAACACTGAATGCTCTGAAAATTTTGGAATTGCGGAAATTTCTAAAGAATCAACATTCTAAAACTTGAAAGCCAGCAAAGATCCTTGTTATATCGAAGATTCAAGATTCTGGATCATGATCTAAAGACTCTAAAGAAAAGTATTCAATAAAATGTGTTCATATGTTATATACAGCCTTCAGTCATAGGTGCTAATTAATGATTTCAGAATGAAGATTTTGATGATTTGAGTCTCTGATAATTCTGGAAGAAGATCAAAGATTTTTGAGGCACAACATTGAAGATGTAAGTCTTTGAAGATTGGAGAATTGACATTTCAAAATTTTCTAACACAACCTACTAAGTTTGAGACTGAAGTTTCTACAGATACTGAAAACATCAAAAAAATCGAATGAGTTCGATTCTAAGACTTCTTATTTGAAGCCTTTAAAGATTTTTAAGAATCTAAAGTTCCAAGGATCTTTCTGAATTGATGCTCAGAGATTGAATCTTCAGGAAATTCTAAAATTGCCAAAATCTGTAGAGATTCAATATTCTAAGGCTCGAAAAGCCCCCAAAGATCTTATGTTGAAGGTTTTGGATTCTGGATTATGATTTAAGACTTCAAAAAATAGAATATAATAATTTATTCATTATATCTGTTATATAGAGCCCTATTCAGCCTTCAGTAATAGTTCTAATTTATAATTTTAGAATGAAGATTCTACTCTGTTGATTTGAGCTTCCAAAAATCCTGGAGGAAATTCAAAAAATTCTTGAGACACAACATTGAGAATGCAAGTGTTTGAAAATTTGAGAGCTCACTTTTCCAGATTTTCTAAGGCTTCTGATTTTGTCGATTTTGAGACTGAAGCCTCATCAGATACTAAAAACGTCAAAGAAACCTTATGAGTTTGATTCTGAGACTTTTTATTTGAAGCCTTCAAAGATTCTGAAGAATAGAAAGTCCCTAGAGATTCAATATTCTAAGCCTCGAAAGCTCTATCAAAGATCTTGTTATATCGAAAGTTATAGATTCTGGATCATGATTTAAGACTCCTAAGAAAAGAATCCGATAGAATTTGTTTATATGTTAGGTATATACCTACAGCCTTTAGTGTTAGGTGTTAATTACTTATTTCAGAATGAAAATCTAACTGATTTGAGCCTCTGATATATCTGGAAAAAATTCAAAGATTCTTGAGACATAACATTGAAGATGTACCTAACTAAGTCTTTGAAGATTTGAGAGCTCACTTTTTAATATTTTCTAAGACAATCTACTGAGTTTGAGACTGAAGCTTTTACCGATACTAAACACATCGAAGAAACCGAATGAGTTCGATTCTGAGACTCCTCATTTGAAGCCTTTAAAGATTCTGGAAGAATCCAAAGTTTCTAGGATATTTCTGAATTTATACTCAATAATACAGTTTAGACTGGATCCTCTGGAAATTGTCAAAATCTCTAAAGATTCAATATTCTGAGGGTCGAAAGCCCCCAAAGATGTTATTACGTCGAAGGTTCTGGATTCTGGATCATGATATTTGTTACGTAGAGCCTTCAGTGATCGTGCTCATTAATGATTTCAGAATAAAGATTCGAAGACTTTTCATCTGAAGCCTTTAAAGATTCTGAAAAATCATCTCATGAATACAGATGTCGAAGGTTGTGGATTCTAAATTCTGGATCATGATCTAAGACTTCAAAGGATACAATTTCTCCATGATATCTGTTATATAGTCTTCAGTGATAGTTCTAATTAATGATTCTAGAATGAAGATTCTTAAGACTCTGCTGATTTAAGCCTGGAATTCTGGAAAAATTCAAAAATTAAAGATTCTTGAAGTACAACATTCAAGACGCAAGTCTTTGAAGCATAGAAAGCTCTATAGAAACTCACTTTTCAAGATTCTCTAAGACTCTGCTGATTTTGAGACTGAAACCTCTATAGACACTTAAATAATTTGAAGACTTCAAAGACTCCTCGAACATCTTGAGGCTCATAAATTCAAAGTAAACAATAAGTCTTACTAATTTTTCAAAGGTCCTAAATTTCTTGCATTTTACGTATAGTTGTTGAAACAAACATTTGGGTATGATGAAACCATATCACTCATTTGAAAACCCAAAAAACCCTAACGGTGTGACTGTGGACAGGCCATAGCGGTGTGAACCAGCTAGGGGGTGTGTTCGTCGGCGGACGTCCCCTGCCCGATTCGACCAGGCAGAAAATCGTCGAACTCGCCCATTCGGGAGCGCGGCCCTGCGACATCTCCAGAATTCTCCAGGTCTCCAACGGATGCGTGTCCAAGATCCTTGGCAGGTACATTTGGTTGATGATAGTGTGTGTGTGTGCGTGTTTTTCATTTGTATATCAATGTTATTGTTTTATTTGCTATGATCGCTTCCCATTTTTTCGATTTTTCGTTGCAGATACTACGAGACAGGATCCATTCGGCCGAGGGCTATTGGAGGATCCAAGCCGAGGGTGGCTACAGCTGAAGTGGTTTCGAAGATTTCGAACTACAAGCGAGAATGTCCTTCGATTTTTGCTTGGGAGATTAGGGACCGGTTGCTGCAGGAAGGAGTTTGCACCAACGATAATATACCTAGTGTAAGTAGATGATGTTTTATGTAGCAAATTTTATTTGTAATGGTGTAATTTTCTGGATGATTAAGACCAATTACTCCAAATATGTAGTAAACTGGTATCAAAATGAGCAGTTCACCATCTTAAGTATACATTTTTGTTCTAGATGGTACTTTAATCCTAATTTTTTGACATTAATCGCATAAAACACTAATCTTTAACAGTCAATTATCGTAACCTCGCCACCCTGTCAAACAATTATTGTAAAACGTCCAATACAATGGGCTCTCTATCCAACTCTGGAGAATGCAGGGCCACTTGTTGTCCCCGCCTGTATTATATTGCAGTTAATTGCCGGGTCCTTAAATTCATAATAGATTCGTATGGTCGAAATTGCTCGCCTCTTGTGCATTATACGGCTTTAGGTGACGGTTTACTTGCACAATAATTACTATGGGTCCTTATTTAATTGAATAAAGATCTTGAGAGAAATGTCACAACATCCGGTATACCTACCTTTGAAGACTGATTACTTATTCAATTATTCTAAACTGACATAATTCATTATTTTATTATATGTATTCAAATGACCAGATATTCGTTTATCTATCTGTTAGCTGAAAGTTGTAAAGATCTTATGTGATACAATGTTAAGCTTATTTTTCAGAAAAAAATTATTTGAGATCAAAGGATAAGCAGATCTTTCAGATAACATCAAAAAGGCCTCAGATATCAAATTCAACTGGTCAAATTTATCAGAAGTGTTATAAGGTAGACACCTTATGACGTGTAATGAGTTACCTACCTTATTAATGGTACCTGCATAATTAGCTGGTCTTAATAATAGGTCTTTTGAATATGTCAGACTTGCCAGTCTTGTCAAGATTGTCTCTGAATTATTGTAACTTTAATTAATATATAATTTGTATTCAAGCAAGCCTAGTTCATTTTATTAAATTATTAAATGGCGCAGTCGAGAAAGAACCAGTGGAAGTGAAAAATAAACTGAAACACAAAAAATAAGGCTTCAAAAGTCATTCAAAAAGGTTAGTTTGGGTTAGCGGGAACAAATGATTTAAGGCTTCAGGAAAAATTGCTAAACATTCAAAATATATCGCTAGAAGAAGTCACAGGATTATGTAGAAATGCAGCAGTAACCAAAAAACGGATAGAAAAAGTTAGAAATAAGGAGGATTTAAGTGTCAATGCACTTGTAGAGGCTTTAAAGAAAAAAGATTATATAGTTGAAAAAAGAAAGAATCAGGAATCAACCGTATCAAATAGTGAAAGGGAACACAACAGCATAGAAAGAAAATTTAAGTGTTCTAAATGCGTTAACGTACATGTATATGGAACGTGCCCAGCCTTTGGGAAGAAGTGTCACAGGTGTGGCAAAATGAATACTTTCATAAAAGCTTGCAAAACCAGAATATAACAGATAAGAGAAATCTCCCAACAGGAAGAAACAGGAGACCAAGACCTTGGGGAATTATTCCTTTGTAGTGTCGTAAAAGTGGGAGAAGTAAGAAAGGACTGTAACACAGTATGGATGGAAGCAGTAAACATAAGTGGCAAAGAAGTTAAATTTAAGGTTGATTCTGGATCAGAAGTCAATATTTTGCCAAAGCGAGTACTTGAACAACTAACTACTGACAATTTGGTTAAGACCAGTGTAATTTTAGAGGCTTATGGAGGTACTAAATTGAAACCAGAAGGTAAGATAAAATTGAATTGTAAAATCAAAAATAAATCTGTGGATTTGGAATTCTTGGTACTAGATTTAAATGTAAAACCAATAATTGGACTTCCTAGCTGCTATAAATTAGGTTTTATCAAAAATACATGTAGTGTACAATCTGAAATTCAATCTATGCAAAACAGAGAGCAATTTATTAAAAAAAATATTGATGTATTTGAAGGGTTAGGGTCATTTTCAGAAGAGTGTAAAATAACATTAAAAAAGGGTAGCATTCCTGTTGCTAGGCCTTGTAGGCGAGTTCCTCTAGTCATAAAAAACAGATTGCAGGTTCAACTTAAAAATTTAGAGAAAAAGAAAATTATTGCTAAAGTGAACGGTGCTAGTGAGTGGGTTAATCCACTAGTTATTGTTGAAAAACCTAACAAGACCTTACGCTTGTGTCTGGATCCTCACGAACTGAATAAATGTATTGAACGAGAGTTTTTTGAAATACCTAGTTTGGAGGAAATTAGTAGTAAACTGGCAGAAAAGCAATATTTGTCTGTTCTAGACTTCAAATATGGGTTTTACCAAGTTAAACTTTGTGAAGAATCGAGCAAACTCACGACATTTTCAACTCCATTTGGTTGTTATAGATTCTGTAGGTTGCCATTTGGTTTAAATTTAGCTCCGGAATATTTCCAGAAAATAAATTTTAAAAATTTTGGTGACATAAAAAATACAATAGATAATATATTTTGATGATTTATTAATAGCAACAAATACTTTGGAAGAACATGATGAGGTTTTAAAAAGAGTGATAGATCGTGCTAGGGAAAAAGGAATCAAATTTAATAAAGACAAAGTTCAATTTAGAGAAATTCAAGTAAAGTATTTGGGTCATATTTTCAATAAAGACGGTATGAAAGTTGATGATGAAAAAGTGAGAGCCATTAATGAACTAAAACCACCAACATGTAAAACAGATTTGCAAAAACTATTAGGTTTAGTAAATTATATGCGAAAGTTTATACCAAGGCTTGGAGAAATTTCTAGTTCGCTTTGTTACTTAGTAAAAAAAGAAGTAGAGTTCCAATGGTTGGATATTCATGACAAAGCTCTTCAAGAAATTTAAAATGAGATTCATAAAAACTCTAATGAATTTTGATTTTAGTAAAGAAATTACAATACACACAGATGCATCCCAAAACGGTATTGGTTGTTGTTTAATGCAATGCGGAAGACCTGTAGCATATGCCTCTAGGGGTCTTAACGACACAGAGAAAAATTATGCTGTTATTGAGAAAGAAATGCTTGGCATCTTATATGCTTCACAAAAATTTCATAAGTTCATTTATGGTCGTCCTATAAAAATAATCACTGATCATAAACCAAATGTGAGTGTTATGAATAAACAAATTTGTCAGGTACATTCACCACGCCTACAAAGGTTAAGACTAAGATTATTAAAATATGATATAAAAATTGAATACTTACCTGGCAAATTTTTACACGTCGCTGATTATTTATCTAGGAATTATAGCAATGAAATTTGTGAGAAAGATAATGACTTTGAGGATGTAGTGCATTCAATTCAAAGGTATTTAAGAATGAGTAAGTCCAGAAAGGAACAATTCAGGAAGCACACTGTTGTAGATGATGTTTTGAAACTAGTAATTTATTATTATACACATGGATGGCCTGACAAGTTGTATGAATCAGAGTTAAAGGTTTACTTTCAAAATCGCAGCGAAATTCATGTGTATAACAATATGGTATTTTTCAATGACAGAATTGCAGTCCCGAAAGCCTTAAGACAGGACATGCTAAAAATTTTACATAAAGGTCACTTTGGAGTCAATCGTATAACAGATAGAGCTCGCGAAATGTTGTTTTGGCCAGGTATGACCAAAGATATAAAATATATGATACAAGAATGTTCTCAGTGTGAGAGATATAAATATGCAAATGTAAAAGAACCTCTAATTGTGCATAAGATTCCAGAGTTACCATTCCAAAAAAGTTGCTTCAGACATTTTTGACTTTGGAAGTAAATCATATTTAGTTATTGTTGACTATCTTACAAAGCGGTTAGAAATAATTCCACTAAAAAGTGAACAAAGTAATGACGTCATTCAAGCATTTAAAAAAAAATTCGCAACATTTGGTAGTCCAAATGTTGTAATCTCAGATGTCTCTGAATTATTGTAACTTTAATTAATACATAATTTGTATTCAAGCAAGCCTAGTTCATTTTATTAAATTATTACAAGAAGGATAACCAGTGGCGGCTCGTGACTATTTCAAGTGAGGAGGCTAAAAGATTTCAAAGATTTTCAGTGATTTTGAGTAGATCTTACGAGTTTTTCTGGGATTTTGACCAACTTGTATACAAATTTTCTGGATAACTATTATTCATTGATTATGAAGTATACTTATGTAACTGAGCTCAGCACAAAAAGACTTATTTCTTGGCCTAATGATATAAATCTCATACATATCAAATCTGAGGACTGAAATTTGCTCTACAATGCTTCTCTGTAAAGATTCTTCTCCGGCAATATTATTCAATCGTTGTTTGGCAATTGACAAAGAATTTCTTGCTTCAAATTATTCTTAAGTTCCTTTGCACCACTGTTTGTTGAAAAATTTCTATCGACTAAGCAAAAGATACAAATATAGACCAATAAACCAAACTTCTACCTGACATATGACATATGGTAAAAAAATGATGATTTTTGTCTCTTCTGAACAGGACGAAATTATGACCTCAGACAACCGTTCCTTCTTGGGTGGTTAAATAAGTCAATTTTCGATTTTTTTTTTCGGAAAGATCTCGTATCTCGTCGTTCGCATCTCGGAGCTTATAAGATATCGAATTACATCTCGGACTTTTCCGCGTCAACAGCGCCGTGTCACGTTACGCCCGACCAAACCCACCAACGTGTCCCGTCTCATTACTCATGCCTCACGGGCGTCGCAGTGTAAATTTTCTTACAATTTCCAATACTCGGGTTACTTTACCTTTTTTATTTTTGTCGATTTTATAATGTACGCCTTGATGGATTAAAGAGCGATTTTATTATAAAAGTGCCCTTGTTAGTTTGGAATGCGGTGACTTGAATGTAGGTATTTGCTAATTTATTTGTGTAGGATGGTTTTTGATTCTTTTAATCTTTCTGCACTATTTGCTCTAAAACTTACATCAAAACTAAGAAAATCCACTGTACGACACTCGGGATTGCTGAAATATCGAGAGGGGAAAAACGTCTCGTGTAAAGTGTGCAAAGTGGGGTGATGGGCAGCAAACCGTGAACACGGAATAGACGCTGGAGGGTGCATAGAT